GTCAACGCTCTGAAATATGGAAATTACATAATCTTTGCAATATATTTCACAATTGTCAGTTTCTCTTTCCAGGAGAAGAAATCAGAAGCTCCTGGTTATTCCAGTGTTGGAAAAAAAAATAAAATTTCAATAATAATGAAAATAGCCTAGAAAAGATAAACAATAGTAATGCTGAAAGAGCTTAGCACCGGATCAGTAAAGACTGGGTAAAAATATTGTGGCAAAGGTTGGTAGTAATAATGGCATACTGAGAGAAATCCCGAGGTTAGGTTCAACTAAATACCGTATTGGTATCTGACGAGACCAAAATCTCGGTATATTCCTAATTTTGAAAAGTAAGAAATAAATATTAGAAACATGAAGCCTGAAATGCAACTGTGTAATAACTAGAAAAGTATATACGATGTGTTGCTAATATGTGTGCATAATGAAAAGACATTATGCCGAATCCTATCCTATCCTTTATCTTCAGATCAAACTGTCCCTTCTGGAATATTATCTATCTACGGCATAGACATGATAAAATACTGCTGATACTTTAGTAAGAGAATGAATTAGTAGTTCTTCAATTGAAATTAATCAAACTAACCTCGTGGGTGAAACATATTTTAAGATAGAATATGCAATCTTTACTAATCAGTAATTTAAAGAAGAGAAATCATTATTCATTCAAGTTTCTGTTCCAAAATGACCAGATCCGTAAATCGAATATTTGAAAACATTTGGAATTCAGGTAAACAAAATTTCTGCTGCTCTAGTTCAAAAAACTCCAAGTTTGATGATAAGACAGGCAAGAAAGAAAAGCTTTTCCTATAATATTCAAATTCATTTTTTTCTTGAGTTTAAGCAGAAATAGTGAACATCTTTAATTTTAGCTTTAGTTATTGAAATAAATTTTGCAAGAAAAATGTGCTCAACTATTAAAAAAAGATCTTAAAAGCTTTTCTCAGATATAATTAAAACCCTTAACTTGCCATTTTCCTGACGATTTGCAAAAATTATGAAAATTAATGTTAACAAAGCATACTGTAATTCAATCAGAGTTTTACTTTTTTCTAAATTAAAAGATCATGCTAAAAAAGATGAATTAAAAGATTTCAGTGATTTTATAACGAAGTCCGATCTAAATCTCGACCCTAAATACACTAATTGTGTTTCAGTCTGTCGGATTTTTACCTAATTCAAGAATTTCATGATTAAAGATTAAACATTTCAAAAATTATTCTTCATTTGCACCAAATCAATTCACTAAAATTTACTAGCCGTAAACCAATATTATTTACCACGAATTTCAAAATAGTTTTAATTTACTAGCAGCAAATCATTCATTTAATGCTAGCGGTATCTAACCATGAACTATTGAATAACAAGTGACAGAGTCAATTTTCCATAACTTCAATTGAAATTGTTTAATTCGACAAATCAAAAACCTGCTTGAAAGCTGCATGGCTAAGTAGTTAAATTATCGAAAACATGTGGTTTCTTTTATTTTCCTTAGATGATAAATTTTTTCAGATTTTGACCTTCATGATTGTCATGGCATTGTCTCCATTTATGCACAATATCCAGAATTAAGTCATCAATAGAATCTAAAAAGTTGCACTATTCTCCTTATTTTCCTATCAATAATTTAGTCGTAATGTTCCAATAATTTAGTGTTGTAGTATCAATTAAACATGTTCATGCAACTTTTCAGTTGTCGGGGTGTATATGAAATGGTCACTAACCATCAAATGGTCATATGAAATGGTTACTACCGTCAAATATCTTTTTACCATTAAAAAACTGCAGTTCTCAGTTGGGATAATACACCAAAGAAATTTTGCTCCAAATGAAATTACTGAATTTGAGATATTTGATCTTTCTTAAAAAAAATCTAATACGGTAGGAATTTATGATCATGACAGCCTAAGCATGTCATAAAGAAGTCACATGACAGATGTTCTAAATTTGACCCAATTATTTATTACTTGAAATTGTAAAAAAAAAAGAAAATTTTACGTCTTCATGCTGGTTGTGATCGCTATTAGAGTAAAGTGAATTGTTGAATGCTTCGATCAGTGATGATCGTTTACGAATGTGACCATTAACATTGTTCTGAAAATCCAAATAAAAGATCATTAACAATTATCATTTATTGTTGTCATTTTAAATGCTTGAAAATGTCAAAAATTGTTTTCATAAGAAATATTATGGAAATGCTGAAGATTTTGTCCCTTGTATTAACAATTTTATTTCGAAAGTGAAGTAAATGAACAACTAAATAAACAAATAAATAAAGATAATTGTATTGAATGAGTAAGGATTAATAATAGAATTTTAAATAATCAACTAATGAAATAGATGAAGGGACCAGGTAAGTTGGCGGTAGAATCATGAAATGCAGATTCTGTTGATTTGCTGCGGCAACAATAATCGGATCGTAGGAATGAATTCTAGAGAGAAATTGAGTCGAATAGCGTTGTTCGTTGACCTGATGCAAAATTTCAATAGCAGCATTTGCTATACATTTCAAAATTACAAATGATCTTTCAATACTTGAAAGAAAGGAAATGCAAATATTACACTTCCTTTCAAAAGACAGAAGTGTAAATGTTTGTTTATGAAAAAGTAGATTTGAGAGAATCGAGTAGATTCATCTTGATAAATATTTATTAATTTGAAAGATCAAAGGTGTAGAATTGATTCAAAAAGTGTGTAAGAAGAGAGACATCTTCACAGTTCCGGCAATTGCGGACAACTTCTCCAATGCTCCAGATCCAGTGTAGATTTCAGTCACGAGATCTGACAAAATCTTTTCAATTCAAATTTATTTCCTCCTAGTTTAAATTGACGGTTCTCTTCTGATTCAAATAGTATGTAAATAAGCGCATATCTAGAATTAACCATATGTAGGCCAGTAATACTCAAAGTCGATAGAGAAAGGAATATATCGACAGGATCAATATCGTTCATCTAATCTCGTTATTTGCTAACATTATTAAATAAATCTTAGCAATGACTTCTTCAAAAAGTTTCAAAACAATAAGATTATAGAAATGGTTTGTATTCGAATTGCAAGCGTTGCGAAAAATGGCATTCATTCGTAATTATCTTTTATCGAATTGAAAAATGAAATAAATGATGTAAGGGAACAAATTACTTTTATTTTGAAAAGCAAAGTTTCTTAATTTCAAAGTTTGAGGAAAAATCACTTTAATCTTTTCATTTTCTTTTTTTTTGCTAATAAATTGAAGAAGCAAAAAAGATGTCATTAATATTACAATTTATAAGAAGTAAGAAACAATGGAAAGTATTGACAATTAAAGAATATTCAGAATTTCATTATACACTGATTTTTTTGATTTTCCATCTCTTTGATTTCCCAAAATTTTCATAGAAGATACTAAAAAAGTATTATTTAAGAATCTGAAGTTTCTTTCCTGTTGCTGTTTGCCTATTTTCCTCTCTTTTGTAATTCTCTCCTCAGTCTAAATGCTCCATCACAAAACTCCATCCTATAAAATCATCCGCGCACGTATTTACTAAATTATTACCAACAATCTGATTTTAAATTAGCTTTGAATTTCAAATTTCTGGAAGTTGAGGAGATAAAGTATAAGGCATTAATACAATACGAAAAAGAAATGGACAAATGACCAGTTGAAGATGACAATATGTTTACTTGGTAAGGTGAAAACAAATTATAATTCAACTGTCTCATAAACGGCTATACACTGTGCATGTACATTTATGAATGGGTCCGTTATGATTAGTCTTTCTGGGTATTCTCCAAAACAACGTATCGGACCTTCACTCGTAATTCTCCGCAATCTGACCGTTAATATAAATCTTAAATATCTATTAACCCATATTTACGATGAACTAGAACACCTTTAAGTGCTTTCAAATTCTTTTACCTCTACTCTCACAAATTTAACCAAACATCCAAGTAACATAAAATGTCCAGGAACAAGTAAGCATCATAAATTAGAAACTGACCCGTCATCACTTATTGCTCCCTCATAGTGATTATAAGTTCAACTACACTTTATCTTTTGTAAATATATCACAGATATGTCATAAAATTAATTCATAATTTTTCTGTTCTTTTTAATTGCTTTCCTTGCAGCTTTGATTGTAAATGTATCTGCGACATATTTACTGAAAAGTTAATTGCGGCAGAAAAGTTTACCATTTAATAAAAAATGCAAGGAGAGAAAAATGTAAAAGTCTATCATCTGTGACTTATTGAATTTATTAAATTAGTGCTGACTTTATTCAAATTCACAAGCGGTACAAAATTTGGCTATTTTAATCCAAAAATTTTTTACACAACGATAACAAATTTTAATGCGATTAACTGTATTTCGGTACTTTAACACTTCGCGTAAAATGAAATGAAGAGTTGATAAGGCTTGAAGAGTCGGGAATTAACTACCTATTTCTTATGTAAAGTTGGTAACTGATGAAAACTGCAAATTTTCGAATTAAATGTTGATGATCTTTGGAAACACAGAATCTCACATTTGCTTTTTAGATCCTGCTTTCACATCAATGCATGATTTTTCCAAAAATTTTAAAAGTTACGAGCCAATGTTATTGTTAAGTTCTGAAACAGAGAGATCAATATTTAATTATCATTTCCGTAAAGTTTTATTTGCGAAGCTTTATTTGCAATTTGATTATTGCTGAACTTCTTGCTTAACAATAAGTCTGATAAAACTATGATACTTCATGAGATGGAACACTTGTAGTTATCAATTCCCCGAATATAAGGGACATATTACCAAATCTCAATGCGATATCCGTAATTTGTCCCACCAATTTAATCTCTCTCTATCGTACTTTTTATTCATCAATCCCCTAATTCATCCATTTTCAACATTTTTTTTGTATACAAAAGGTAACGAACAGCTGATGTCAAATCGCACTATTTTATCAGCTCTATCATTAGAATTATCTTAATGTTGAATGGAGGTCAGGTCAACAAATTCTAATTTTGACTTGTCGTAGATTTCTTATTCATGTTGTTCTGTTCGCCTTAGATCATTAATTGTCATCCATACTTTTTGTTTCTTGGATCGACAACTCAAACTCCATCGATCGTAAATCATCCAGTCGCATTCAAACCTAAATTTCAAATTTGGGAAAATATTACAACAATAATGACTGCTCATATCATGGAAATTAATCTGTATTCATTATTATTAAGAACTTTTTCAGAATTCCCTTAAGAAATAAGTTGTGCTAAAGACTTATTTTTCAGCAGTAATCCAAAAAAGGCATATTTTATTATTCAAAAAAGGAGCTAAAAAGAAAAGGAAACTTTTTTTTTTCCGTAAAAGACAGAAAAATTCTCCGGATTTCCTTTTCCTGTTTACTGAAATGTGTTTGACGGTTATTTTCCAAATGTATAACAAAAAGTATATCTTCCTCATACCGAATGAGTGGAAGCAATCCTCTTGACTAGATAATGTACGAGTAACATATTTTTCTTTTGAGTTTTCGTATTTTGATAGTCTCTTTTAAAGCGAGTCAGATGCCGAACTTCTCGAGCTCTTTTAGTATTTAAAAATGGTCTTGAGTGACTTTTCATGGAAATGAATAAATTTTGAGGTCCACAGTAAAGCAACAATTTATGCTTCTTTAAAAACTGTTCTATCGGTTTCAGTTTATAATGCTGAGGTAATTTAAGATGAGTGTCGTGAAGTTTTCCATGTAAAGATACATAGATAAGTAAGATCATCGAAAATGGCAATGAAAATACAGAAATTGGCAAATATGATAACAAGCATGAAGATAATACTCCATACAGAGATATCAGTAATTATCCAGAATGAATTCACGTTAGCTAACATCATCCCTATATCTTGACTGTAAGGTTGTTGACTTTCTTCTCCACAGAGGTGACCACAACAGATACATGTCTGATACAAGGTGTTACCATATAATAGCATAAATCAGAGTACGTTCCCGTCCTTTAAAGGAGAACGGCAATAAATGATGTGCGTGGTTTCTTGTCCTTTGAACTTTGAATGTCAACGTAGATCTCTTATTTTGTCCCGTTCTATTTTTGTTTGTGATCTCTCCAGATCTAATTTTGCGACAATTTCAAGATAATTTTCAGAAAACAGAATAACAAATATTGAAGTTGGAAGCTCTTTCCTTCTCCTTTTCTACCGGCAAAAGAAAATTTTACAGAATTGCACTTATATCTAGAATTTCTTAGCACTAACTCGTCAGAGAGGGTAACATTAGAACTACTTTTCAAGTTTTAAAATAATTTGGAAGAAAGAATAAATTGGAAACATGGATGATGTGCGTGATTCCTTGCCCTTTGAACCTTGAATACTTGCCGTTTAAAGTAAATCGGACAAAAAAACAGTTGACGGATCACAATGAGATGAAGATTAAGGCTTAAACTTCTTTAGCATCAATAAAAATACCCTACATTTCATCATAGATACAGCTATAATGCCTTTAGTTGAAAAAATTTCCTGAAAATGGATGCTCTGTTTGAAATTCAATTTATTAAAAGAAATCGGAAAACTAAGGCTACTATTTGTTCATTTTTGCATGCTGTCTCCACGTGTACACGTATGGAATCATCATACTGTGAGACTTTTTGCACTTCAAAACACCCAAACACCAATTATTCAAACTCAATGAGCAAAGGTTTTTCTGAATTAAAACTTATTTATTGAAAATGATGGAAGAAAATACTAAAAAAAGAGCGAACAATGGAATCGGGTTTGTGAATTAAAGAATGTGTAGTATACCTTACTGACTGCAAACATCTCCATTAACACAGGTAATGCTTATTTCAGTTGATTTTTGTTGTAAAGGATAAAATCGAACATATTTACAGCTCGTGGTACCATTACCATTTCCACATATACCTGGCCAACTAATAGATCCCACTCCGTTTATCAAACTGTATCTTCTATTGCAGTCTAACATAAGTTTATAACATTTACTACCCATTGGGATCCAAAAAACCGCATAAATTTCAAAAAACAACCACATTTGTATGCACTAAGAAAGCAAATTAATGTTTTTAAATGAGAAGTCAACGTTTTATTAAATTATTTGTAAATTAGTTAGTTAGTTTTTATCAGTACAGATGCTGATAAAAGGGCAACACTCTTTTGAATCCATAAAGAAATGAAAAAAGGTAATTAGTTAACCAATGCAAATTAGGCTAAACACGGATAGTATAGTGCTAAGCATCGAATGCCAGTAGGATCAGAGATATCTAAAGTCGAAACCTCAATTGAATATTTCTTTTGGCTTCTTTTTTAATATCAAAAAGCCATCAAATCGATGAGAGAACTTGTCTAACAACGTATAAATGATCGAATAGGTCTGAGCAGCAATGACGATATAAGGATGAGAAATTTCCTTATACAATAATAACATTGGGTGACAACAACGCAATAGAAATATCCTTCTTGACGATGCGAGGACGATCAGCAAATGATTGTATGGGCGAAACTATTTAAATAACTCTTCTCACTTCTTTCGACAAGGAAAGAATACATTCAACTTTTCTGTCTACTGAATAATATTTTAAAAAAAAGTGAAGGTCAGACTATCGAATCCTGTAGGATATCCATTTTGTTCGATAAAATCATAAGCTTAATATTCCTTTCTTTCCATAAAGATGTACAGGAGGCTGACAAAGCTTTCAAGAGAATTGTTAAATTTTGCTCGAAACAGGTTACGCACTTGATTGTAGACAGTTTGCGTGTCTTAAAATCCTATTATCATACGTCCGAAGTGACAACTTCGGAAATAGTGAACCTACAGGTGTATAAACACAAAGTCAGCGCTATTATCAAAAATGTAATCTGAAGACAAAAGAAAACTTCATATATTGCGGTTAGCGTCTTTGGAGCGGAGAAATTAAATACTTAGTCAGGGAGTAACTGATAAATTTAATATTCATAGGAAAAGAATCCATAGAACTTCTATTAAGCAATAGTGATCCTATAATTTTATTAAACTATCCCAATGCAATTACTTCCTTTTATATTATGGCTGACTTTTCTGACACTGCATGAGTTTGCAAATGCAAACGGTATGTGGACTTAAAAATCTCAAAAGGGCAGTTCCCCTCTATACCAGAATTAATAATTTTATCGAAAATTAAAGGCACTAACCAGTCGTGGATGAACAACAAAAGGACGGAATGTGTCGCAATACATGATCTTCAACAACCCGAAATATACCAAAACAAATAGGTCACACACAAAGTATATTAGGATATATTCTATCTGAAATTTCAGCCAAGCCAGTAGTATGCGACAAAGTCTAGTTTTCAATGCTAGAATTCATAAAGGAACAAGGGAAATATAATATTAGAAAGTTTGAGACGAAAAAAGGTATGAATTAATATACCTGCTGATTAATAAGATGATAAAAAACAAATGAACATGTGGGTGAACACTTGAAGGCATTGGTAAAGATAAAAGTCGGTAAATTAGTAATTAGTTGAGCAGATAAGTAAATAAATAAATTGTGAAATAGCCTCATATGCTGACGCAGAACGATAGTCTAACTCTTTTAGCAGCATTTGGAAATCGGACATCACTTGGAATTATTAAAAAAGACTTTCTGAATTTTTCCAGTGTGGTTAAACTCTGCATATTTTCATAGTGCAAGCACGAGACATAAAGTGTGGTACCGAACTTTGAAAATAAATAAATAAAGATGAATCTCTCTAATAATAGAAACGAATATTAGCGGTGAGAAAATCCATTGTCATTGTAAGTTACTTTTTAGATCATATGTCATGAATTTAAACGGATAAACATCGGAATGTTAGTCTTAAAATTGTCACAAAAGAAAAAAATTCTTGCCTGATATCAAATTATCTCGTGAATTAAGACAGAAGGAGCAGAAATGGGAAGGAGAGCTTTAAGAATAAACTAGTAAAAAGTTATTCTAATTCTTTAATCTTTCGCCGAGATCTGATGAGGCTAATCGGACCTACATAGACTTATACCCTTATTAATACATAGTAGTAAGGTATGGAATTTAAATCGAATTCCACGACTTTAAAACAAATATCGCCAAACGTCAATTGAAGTGATGATTGTACGAAGTGATAACTTGAAAACTTTCGTGATTTTTGAAAAGATAACCTTTTTCGCAAGAAGAACAAAGAAAAACAATATCCAGATTAGAGAGAATATTTATGGAAATTAATGGACAAGAAAAAACTGGATTGAATGACATTGAAAAACTTCTGGAGAGTGCAAAAAATGTAAAAGAAAGCGCAAATGGCGTGTTATAAGTTCATCGGTTTAATGTTATGTTTAGAAAAAATTTCCGAAAATTTCAGAATCTAACAATTTGTCTATCTTATCCTTTACCAAAACACAAATGAGCCAGCTCTAGAAATCTAAGTAAGAATCTTTTAATGAAAGGAAAATCTTGAGAAATGAGAGTAAATGAAATGAGTTTCGAATCTCTTCAACATGTTGAAAAGACCTTTGTAACTATTACTTCTTCTATCTATAACTATAACTTAGTCAGTGGAAAAGTATAAAGGAGTGGTCAACAGTGGATGAGGTAAGGGATCATTGTGTGATTGCGTACGGCATTGGATTGGATTTATGCAAGGATAATTACTATCAACGTCCTAATAGCTAACAAGTGGAAACCACTGATAACAACAAAATTTTAAGTTTATCCATCTCTCTGAAATGGATTCGTATCGATGTGTTATTTGCCTACTTCCAAGTCCCATATTAGCAACAACTCCACAAATCACAATTAGATAGGGGAAAACATATGTTTAATTTAGTTTTAAATCCTAGAATGTGTTTTATTCATGCTTTTAAACCTATCGAAAAATCAATTCTGAAAAGGTAATGAGAACTTTTATGAATAATTCAATTCATCGTTGTAAATATATGGGAAAGTTGAATCTTTCCCGTAAAAATTTCCGTGTTTCTTTTAATTCCTTTGAAAATGACGACATTCGAAGAATATCCTATCAAAGTAGTCTGTGTTCATCACTGGTTTCCAGATCTTTCCAATGAGACAGCTAATGTAAAATGTAAAATAATCATTGAAGTAATCATTCTGAAGTTATAACGAATAGCCAATGAATTCAAGATCAGTGCAAACGAAAAGCAAGATCAAAGTAATCGAAATTCCCGGAACACTTCTACTTCTTGTTGAAAAGATAATATAGTCACAACTGCAAATGGCATACATGACACCAATACGACCATACATGGACCCTTGTGTAAGAAATGTAAACAGAGGACAACTACGCAAACTATTTCCTGTTCGTACTATTTTTGTTCGCTTTTCGAAATTATTACGGAAAGAGATATTTTACTGGAAAATTCTGACATAAGTACTCATATTTATAAAAATATGAAGAGAACAGAATGAAATATTTTCTATTTGGAGTAGACAGAAATAAAGCGGTAGATACTAAGCTTCAAGTCTCCCAATAATTAATGGTTAAAGGACAATTGATTTCGAATTCATAACCTAAGTCTCCAACTCATCCTATTTTCTCAATATGAGAAAGGACCAGCAACAAAGGACCTTTCTTTCCGTTCTTAAATGAGTAGGAAATAAAGAATTACTGAATCTATTTTCAAGTATTGAAGTATGATTGAAATAACTCTCAAAATACAAGTAAAAAAATTTGAGAAAGATAACATTAAAAACGAAAAAAAGAGAAAAAAGAAAAGAGTAATAAAAGTAGCAAACAAAAATATTCAGTTGATGAAAGCTCTGTGAAAGTGTTGAGATATTTCAGTTACAGTTAAGAACTCTTTCATAGTACAAGATTTCATTTTTTTTTTTTGCATATGACGTTTTTTTTTGGGACATTTAAAAGGAAATTTAGGATTATCAAGAAAAAAACTAGACTGAAAATTTCAACATTTAAATTCTTATGATCATAAACATTATCAGTGGTTAATTGCTGAAAAATTATGACTTGGGCCTTTTTGATGAATGTATTCGACTACATTCTACTTTTTTATAATTCAATTCATATGGAAAGAATTTTCTGTTAAGAGAAAAGTGTTTTCGTTATTTCGGTGCTTAAATAACTTTTAGAAAAAATGCTCTCAATACTTATTTTTACATTTAAAATCAAATTAACGATGTCATCCGGCAATAATCAAAATTGAAAAGGAAATATATATTTCACATCATGCAGTTTATTTAAATAGTGTGTGAATAAGAAGTTAATTGAAATGGAAATAAAGTTAATTTTGATTTAACTATTAACAAAATGTACATCCCATCCCTCTTTCACTTCCTTTTCCTCTAAATGCATCTGATTTTAGGGAAGGCCATTGTGGTTTTTCTTTTTTTTTTTTAAATAAAGTGGATTGAAAGAGTCTGAAAACATCGTTGTTTGCCGTTAATATTAAATGGACGAAAAGTTTGTAAATGAGCGTATAGCGCTATTTAAGCTATTTGTTTGAGTTAAAACCCGTTTCCGATGCATTATGCCTTTAAATATAATAGTTGTAGCATAGCTTTGCAGCTAAACTTACAATTCACAATTGCTAAAATGAATTTCACAAAAAGTTATGCAAAAAGGACCATTAAAAGATATAAAACTTCATATGCTACAATAAGTGCAAAGTCTTTGATCGGCATTTACTTCCATTAAATGCATTGATTGAGTAGTAAAGAGATATCACCTAGTAAAAAAATGCCACCCTTATACACCAAAGCTCGGCATGATGAGTAAATTAGGAAACCCGCCCACCATGTAAATATTGTATATTAAGGATTCATTAGCATTCAAGAAAAAAAATTTGGAAAAAATAGAACCTATGGAAACTTATGACAAGTCAACAAGTAATGGGAAAGTGATAAAAGCAGTGACTTGAAGAAATTCATCAAGAATTCAAAGGAAAAAAAAAGGAAAGGAGAGGATGGAAATTTTGAAATGTTCAAATCAATGTGCTTGTGTACTTCTTTTCAGTTGATTTATGACGCTTTTTGAGCACATGCAATCAAATATGCGGCGGAGGGATAAAGGTAGAAACAAATTAGTAAAGAGAGAATTAATAGGGAGACAAAGAGAGAAGGAAAGCAAACAAATTGGTTCTTCTACGTCTTATGCACTTACAATTAAAATTTTAATTAGATGTTTAGATGTCCGATTGAGTGATACAGGAATGATCCTTAATCGGCAAATTCATGATTTATTATCCATTAGACCTGACCGGGCATCTGATGGTCCTCCAACAAGTTTTTCATGCCAGCGAAGCTGCGGGGGAAGCATGTCGCCACCTTCCCCTTCTCCCCTCCCCCCCCCCCCCCTCCGCCCGCTGCTCTTCCCTTACAAGCCTGAGTGACACTCGGACGCCATCTTGACAGACAGTGGAGGCTTCCCCTGATTGGCTATGTATGTATATATTTAATGTCAGGATCAATTTTCTTTATCTCTTCTTTTCATTTCAATTCCATTTCTCCACTTTGTTTTCTTAGTATCTGACCATATATTGACCAGGTTCCTTTTCTTTTTCAGTTGGGAATGTCCAGTTTGGTGTTTTTGAATACAATCTATCTTTGTTTTGTTTTGTTTTTTCCACAATTTTCAATCAATGCTGCTCTTATGTAGTGATTCCCCAAGTTTTTATCTACTTTTCATTTGTCATATCATAAATTGGTATGCCAGCCAAAATCTTTCAATGTTAAAGTCCATTGGTCTTTCATCACAAGTTCATCATCTGAACATTAAAAATAATGATGTAATTAGATCCTCCACATTTTCAGTGAATCCATCACAGTATTCTATTTACTGTTTTTTTATGAAAGAATAGTAT